AAGAAAGCGAGTGAGATCAGTGTACACAGACAGACAGAGACTATCATCTCTTTCTAGTCGAACCGCCGATATGTTATGGTTTTTCAATCCTTGATTCTGAGTCATATTTGTGAGAAACTGAATGGATGGTATGGTTTTGTTATTAGGTCATTGCCATATTATAGAATCACGTGTGGTGATATATGGTCTTTGCAATATACGGTTCTTTTTATTCTTTAAACTAAATTCATTAAGCCATTGGTATGTTGAGTTTAAGTTTCCTAATTATGTCTCAAATGGGAAGGGGTTGCCCAATAACTAACACTAATATTATTGATCCTTTTGCTGGTTTTGTTTCTGGTAGATTAATATGGGAGTCAACTATTTCAACAATTTGCCGAAGTTTACTTTGGAGAATCCTTTCCGTTTCCTATATTTTACTAGCTAGGATCGAAGAGTTTGCAGGAAAATAACTCTCTTTGAAATTGATGCCCTCTTTTTGATTAGTCATATATAATGCAACATATCTGTAATGTGTATGGTGATCAACAAGATGACTATGGGGGGAAATATTTCATGGATACTCTAAACTCTATTGAAAGAAGTCAAAGAATCAAACATTTTTCTCTATATTGGCTGTTTGAATATGGCTCGTATGACACACCATTGTAAGTGCTTTCTTAATTTATTCATAGACAATTTTCCGAATAAAACAATTACAAGCTCTAACCGTCGACAATATTTATGAAAATTAACTACTCGTTTCACACATATATCTCAAAGCTGGGTACTAAACTCCATCAAAAGATAGTCGTTAACTTTCAAGGTGAAAATTGATTAAATATGTACAATTGGGAGCAACTCCAGTGTTCATATACATGAACTACTTAATTAAGAAACATTTTTTGTTTTGTTTTAAATCATTAAACAACACTTACATTACAAACATGGATGAGAATATGAACAAAGCACACATTATATAGGTCAGAATTACATACAAATTGCATAATCATTAATCACCAAAACTCTACCGGCCAAAGGGCCGGGGCATGTGCTAGTATTCTGAGAAGTGAGAATACAATTCCATGAGAGAAAGCAGTTCACATATTGGAAACAAATAGGAAACGCTTTTCTTTGTCCTCTCTCTTTCTAGTTCTACCTAAGAAGCTGGCAATTTCATGAAACATAACACCAGCTTTTTTTCAGTATTTCCTCCTCCAGGAATGCCACTTTACTTTCATCTGGTACCACAACGGCGGCACGCCAAGGATCCCTCGCGACAACCTCGGATCAAACACATTAAACTCCACCTTCCTCAGAGTATCCAACAGAACTTGGGCAGGAACAGAAGGCAACAGCACCGGACGAGCCTCAACAGGCACCGTTCCAGCCAACTGACGAGCCTTCTCCAGATGAGCATTCGCCACGGACGCCATCTCAAACACAGCATCGCTCAAACTTCCCTCCCGTGATTCCAATTGAACGTATGACCCCCCTCCTTCTTTAACCAACAACCCATGTTTCAACGCCACCTCGATTGGTATATACGAGCCCTGACGGCTCTTGCTTGCATGATACGGCAACGACCCGAGAAGCAAGAGTAGCCCACTCGCCTTACCAATGTGGGATGCAGCGTGGTCAGCTGCAGTAGACCTGATGCCACCGGATTGAAGGGTTGTGTACAGAAGGGTGGATACGGTGTCCTCAGCATATTTTTCCAGCTCGGATATGGAGTTTGGGATGTCATTGGGATCTCTCCTTGCGTCGTTGATCCTTGCCTCGACAGAACGTTTCAGCCATCCTTTGCTGGTTTTGTGGTCGGAGATTACTGATGCGAGGGCTTGTGCGACTGGCTGCTCGATTGACTTGCTGGAATATATCTTGTCAATTGCTTCTTGCCACCATAGAAGGCGCATGAGACCAATTCTGGGATCTGATGAGACGTCCATGGCTTTGGAAGTTTCCACGTTGAAGGCACGGAGTGCAAAAGCTGCCTTTCGCATGTCGGGAGGAAGCTCGAGAAGGCAGAGGTAGTGGTGGTAGTCATAGGTTCGGACTTGTTGTACGCAGAAGGAGAATGCTGACCGCAAGGTAGTGGAAGCGCCTTTCATCAAAGCAGCAGTGTGCTTCCCCCCTGAAAATTTGTGTGGATAATTACGATTAGAAAAGCTGTCTCAAACAACAACAACGAAACTAAACTTTCTCATATTCATTTTGTCTGAACTCTAAAGAATCACATTTTCTAAAGAGAATCTTAACAACTACCATCTTTGCTGAACTTCCAAATATGCATAAAAACGCCTAAATGATTCTTATTTCTTAATGCATAGTAATAATATGAGCAGCAACTGACTATGCACGGAGAGAAAGGAGAATGTAAAATCACATAATTACCCTTATTTAGTCTCCTATTTTGTCTAACCCGTAGGCAACAACTCAAGCATCCTGGTTGAATGAATGTAATGCAGACCATTTGCAGTAAATATTAATATGCAGGTTATTGCTTCTTTATAGTTAAGGAAGACAGTTAAACAAAGTGCAGATGATACCCCAACTGTGATACCAAAAAGAACTGGAATCGACAAGGATCAAGAAATTGCAAATGAACATGGTTAATTCTTTTTGGTAGTTTTATACACTGCAACCTTAACAGATTGACAGATTAAAATCAGATTGGCAGCAACCTTGAACAAAGTGCAGATGAACATGGTTCTTCTTTTTGGCAGTTTTATACACTGCAACCTTAAACAAATTGACAGATTAAGATCATATTGGCAGCAACATTATACAGTCAAACAGCCAGTCAGCCACCAATCATGTTCAATCACATTGGAATCATAATCCCTTCAAAAAACCCTTGCCTACAAGCTGAGATTGCTTAATCTAATAACTGTTCTCAACCTAGCAGCCCTCTCACAAACATCATCTTGTCTAATATGTCTTCAAAATGGTACAACTTCATCAAGGACACGAAAATTGCAGTTTGAAGAACATATATATATGTGCACTGTAGTATTGTTGCGGTATGAAAACTTAGGTTGGTAGAACTGTATTCACTACGGTTGAACCACTCACAACCAAGCTTACAAGGCCATGAAGGTTGCGGCAATTCTGCCAAGTAATCAACTTTCCTAATATGTTTGACTGGACAAAGTAAGTCATGAAAGCTTTAAAAACCCTCAAAACACAAATCTATTTCTGCTCTCCTTCGCCAAACACCAACAAAGCAAGTCATAAAATCCAGAACCCAAAAGATTGCGATTGAGACGAAGGCGAAATCCGAAAACTTTATGCACAACTCTAACTAACCTGTGGAAGAGTTTTTTATGCAGACCCTAATCGGTGGATCTCCGAAACTGACTCCCTACTCTCCTCGGCATCGGAATGGTGCTTGGTCGCCGCCGGTAGCCCTCAAAGGACGAGACAAGTGTTCGTCCAAAAAGAGTTTCGCGTCGTCGATTTGTTTGGGGAGAGTCTGGTCGACAGTAATGGAAGTAGGGGGTGTTCAAACGGTTTGGTTACCATGGTCACCATTTTAACCAGTAGTATTTGGTTAATTTGGTTTGGTTAATTTGATTTGGTTAATTTCGATAATTGGTTTGGTTTGGTTAAAAAATTTAGCTTGTTTGATTTAAGTGGTCTGGTTTGGTTTCAGGCACTCCTAACCAATCAAACCAAATTAACCAGTTAAGTAATTTGTCATATATCTAATATATATTATATACACATACTTAATACTTTGCATAACCACTCAATAGTCAAACGTAAGATAATTGTATTTATTACATGTATTTACGTTAAGGGTTAACCATAATTATGTGGATTGTTATGTGTTGTTCATTATATAAATTGCAAATTAATGCACTAACTGAAATTTTTTCTCACTTAATGATAATGTGGTGTTATATTGGTTATTTTGGTTAACCAATTAACCAAACCGAATAAACTTTAGTTTGGTTAATTTGGTTGTTGTATTAGTTTGGACGGTTTGATTATGATATTGTATTACATGCTTAATAGATTTTAGACTTATTTGGTTTGGTTATTACCATGGTAACCATTTGAACACCCCTTATGGAAGAACGGGTAAAGTTGATTTACATAAAAAAAATAATCGCTATTTGCCGCCCGTAGTTTTATTATTTGTCCCCCGTAGTCACAAAAAAACATGACGATTTTGTCCTTGCCTCATTTTAAAAACCATAAACCTAACTACCCCAAGTCCCAACCCTTCACCTCCCACCCCTGCTGCTCAACCGCCGGCTGCCCCTCCCTCTGCCGAGCTCCGCTGCCCATTCCCTCTGCCGACCTCGGCCACCACCGCCCTGGAGAAGCAGCCGCTGTTCCAGTCGTCGCCGCCGATGTAATTTTTTTTAATTCGTAGTGGACGCGGTCCGCCTGGCCGGAGCGGACGCGGTCCGTCCGGTCTGGTCAGATCGGTTTGATTGGATTTGAATGGTTCGGTTTAAATAAATATTTATTAGATTTATTTTAAATACAATTGTTAGTATCTTAATTAGTTTAATATTGATAGTTGAATAATTAGTATATAATTGTCATTTGAATAATTAGTATATAATTGTTAATTATATAATGTGTTAGATGGTAGCTAGTGGACGTCGACGGTAGTTGTACCAACATGCAGAGTAGTGTCTCGACAGCAACCACAGTCGCGAGACGATAATGTACTCGTCGACAATGAAGAGTAGGCTATAGATGTGGCTGGAAACGAACGGGCCGGCCAGCAGCCGTCGGAAACTTGAAGGAGGTAGGGAGAATATAATCAGTCGGAAAGAAGAGAGAGTTTGAGGGAGGGAGAAACGAACAGGCAGAAAATAAACCTAAAACCTCCTATTTAAGTTAAGTTTTTAAATTATGAAAATCTCCTAATTGCCCTTAACTTACAAATAACTACTATTAACCATAAACTAATTATTAATTACCTAAAATCCTATCAGCCAATAGGAGAAGTTTAAGCATCTTCTTAAGCTTTTGGGCTTAAGCACAGGAACTCAGGCCACAGCCATACGGCACCGTTTACGCTTACTCCCTTGACTATCAAATGCAAAACTGTTGCGTGTTGCCGTAGAAAGGCCCGAACCAGTGTCTTTCTTACTTCTCCCGCCGCCTTATCTCAGCAGCCCAAGCGCGGGAAACGGCCGCCGGCTGCCTCATCCACCGCAGATGTTGAAGCTATTGGCTGGCCGGACAATGGTCTCTGTGACTTCTGTGCTTCCATCTCTCTTCTTTCCAAAACCCTTTTCCTGCTTTACAACAATAAAACTGCTTCCGCCCAATTCTTTGTCCCTCGCGTCTCCTTCGTCTTCCAGACCACGGTTCTACTCCTTAGTTTCGCAAATTTCAAATCAAAGGGGTAATTGTAATGGAGCCAGCTTTGATCCATACTATTTATCTTGCTGTATGCCTGAAAAGCGCCTCAGAGTTGCTGTTCTGCTCAGTGGGGGAGTGGATAGCAGTGTCGCCCTTCGGCTTCTCCATGCCGCCGGCCATGAATGTACTGCCTTTTACCTCAAAATCTGGTTCCAGGTACGATTTTGTCGACTTTAGACCTCTCAAATTCGGAAATCCGGCCTCTTTTTGGGCTGGTTCTTATGTTGGGTGGATTTTTTTTGTGTAGGAAGACTTTGAGAACTTTTGGTCAGAGTGCCCTTGGGACGAGGATTTGAAGTATGCAACAGCTGTTTGCGATCAGGTTACCCACTCGAATACAGTAGTCATTTCTACTGATAGTTCCTTTCCATAATGGTTCCAACATGTACTATGCTTTCAAGGAGATGATATGATCTGTCCTGATCTGTATGTTTGTGAATTGTAGTCTTTGTTTTCCAAAAAGAATTGTAGTCGTTGGATTTTAGGGGGATTCATAAATTGTATGTGTTTGATCGTTTAGTGATCTTGTGCCATGTTTGGATTTTGTTTTTCCAGGTTGATGTACCATTAGAAGTTGTGCATTTGACTGATGAATACTGGAAGAATGTGGTATGCATCTTTGTCCTTCTTACCTTTTGAATGGTCTGAGTTGATGGAGCTATGTTGAAAGTTTTTTTGTGTGTATCCAAACTGAATGAGAGTGGACATGATTGTTTCAGGTGTCTTACATTATTAAGGAGTACCAATGTGGTCGTACTCCTAATCCAGATGTGCTATGCAATACACGAATTAAATTTGGTATATTTCTGTTCAGCTCTGTGGCAATCCTTTTTCATTCAGTGGTTGATTCAATGTTTGAACTTTAGTCTCTTGGGCTCATGTTGGTGTTTCTTAATAAAATTCAGGTGCTTTCATGGATGCTGTGAATGGTATGGGATTTGATTATATTGCTTCTGGGCATTATGCCAGTGTCGTTCACCCATCTTCAGATGAAATGAATAAGCCTTCTGTTCTGGAGCTGTCAAAAGACATGGTAACTTGAAAAGATTCCCAATTCCAAAAACATTCCATCTTCTCTCTGCCTTGAGTTCTAGCTCCAGTGCTGGTTCTTTCGATCTTGGATTTGGTTTGGGGAACATTCGTTTACTCCTACTTACAATAAACTTCCATTCAACATTTTCAGGTGAAGGATCAAACTTATTTCCTTTCGCATTTGTCACAAGCTCAACTAAAGCGCCTGATTTTCCCACTAGGCTGCATTCCAAAGGTTAGCAAGGAACTCTTGTCTAGTGTCTTATTTTTCGTCCGCAAATTGTTTCTTAATTCAGATCATTTGTAGGAAGAGGTTCGCAAACTTGCTACAACATTTCATCTGCCTAACAAGGACAGGAAGGATTCACAAGGAATATGTTTCTTAGGAAAGGTAAGGTTTATTCAGAGAAAAATGGTTTCTGTTTCCTCATTTTTATCTACACAAGTTATAGTTGCAGAGTGCAGAAATGTTAGATTTGGTTTAGCTGCATATGTACTTGTGCCTGGAAATGTGGACTCCTTATATAATGCCTGTTGCTTTGAACTTTAGACTTCGATTCTGCAGTTTTCCACAGCTATATTCATCTCCTACCCGTTTGGTGCGTCTGCAGATCAAATTTAGTGAGTTCGTTGCGAGACAGATCGGGGAGAGAGAAGGTATCATACTAGAAGCTGAGACCGGCGATTTCCTTGGTATGCATAGAGGATTTTGGTTCTACACAATTGGTCAACGACAGGGTCTTCGACTTCCTGGTGGTCCCTGGTACCTTCTCATCCCTTTTTATCTATAAGAGTGGTTTATTTGTTCACTTATGCCCGAATGCTTCTTCCATATGACAATTCATCTTGTCCAGGTATGTTGTTGAGAAGGATGTGAATAACAATGTAGTGTTTGTCTCAAGAAACTACTTCTCCATCGACAAGAACAGGCGATCATTTCATGTTGGCTCTCTGAAATGGCTTAGTGATAGACCTCCTCAGGAAACATGGCAGCTTCAGTGCAAGGTCCGGCATGGACCAGGGTTCTACAATTGCAATGTGACTATAGAGCAGAGTGAAGATGAGGAAGTTGCAGTTGTCCAGTTGTCGGAAGATGATCAAGGTCTAGCTGCAGGGCAGTTTGCAGCCTTCTACAATGGAAGAATATGTATAGGCTCCGGCGTGATATTGGAATCATGGGATGATCAAGGGTTCCCTGTATGTGAAAGGGCCATGGAAATAGCTAAACTAGAAGACAAATCAAAGCTGGGGAAACCAGTTAAGATAAAAGTGAAGCCAGAGAGTCCTTTGAAGGAGGAATCTGTTCCAAAAGACGGGGCAGAAATAGAACTTGTAGTTGGCAGCTAAGCAAATATCCAGCGCCAGAGTCTGATAAAATTCTGGTCAACATAACAGAAACAGGTCTATTGAAGAATATGGAAACTTTCGATATTGTTGCCCAATGTCAAAATGGCTTCATGGGCTGAACCCGGCAACACACGTGTGCATGTTCCAATGTCAAAACAACGCAATGGATCTATTCCTGTTACTAACATCCATCTTCTTGCCAAAAGTACCTTTGAATATAGAGCTTTACCAGACAGTTAAATAGAGTTACAACATGAGCAAATGCAGCTAACGATAACCGGAGCAATTACAGTACTGTTCTTTCAAGTCTTTACACTGATTGAACTACACCTAAGCTTGTGAAATTGAGGAGGTTCTCATCCATAACGGTCGACCTAATATAGCTTTACCGTGAACAGAAAGGTAAGCTGAATTTAACCTGCAGGAAAAAAAGAATCCAAGAGAGAACAGTTAGTGGTGAAAAATAGAATCCTCGCAAGTTTTCCAACTCCGGGAAATTATGTTATGTAACTGTAACTTACTTATCGACATCAGGAGCTGCCAAGGGATCATACACTTCTTCCTTCTGTTCCACCATAGGGACAGCACCGGTCATGTCCTGAGCACCTTCCACCTGAAACCAAACCCACATGGGATACACGATGTAAGATTCATGCAAGAACCGCCAAAACAAAATCCAGAGAGTTATCGCAATAAGCCCTTCATGAGATATTCATATATTTATAGGCTGCACCACTGAAGAGTTTACTGTAACATAGTGGAAGGCTTGAACTGGACTTAAAAAGTCAGGAAAGAAGCCATTGTATCAATTGATAATACAACATAATTGAAACAGACATTGAAGAATCTGGAAACCTTCGAAACCGGTCTTTTTGGGTCAGAAAATGTTATTCTTGGATGATATCTGAGTATTTGAGCTAAGTTAAGAAACCCTACCTGCTGAGGATACTGAGCATAACCAGCATATCCACTGTATGCATATAGTGATGGATCCTGGGTAGCTGCATAACCATATGCGTCATAGCCTTGTCCATAACCATAATAAGCACTCCACTGATCGGGTTGTTGGCCCCACGTAGCAGTAAGGTCCTAGCAAACGATAAAAAATGTCAGCAAAGACTCTCAGAGACTGAACAACCAACATAACAAAGTTAATGAGTTTAGTCTCTCTCTTTCCAGTTGAACTTCTTTTAATTAAAGGCAGCATGTATAACTTAAATGGTAAAAAAATGTCTGCAATGAAGACGCTTTTCATCATCTGAGCAAAAGTAGTACGGTAGTACCTGCTTCTTGCCCCAAGATATACGAACTGATTGCTGACCAATGATATGACCCTGCATCCTTTGTATGGCTTCTTCTGCAGACGGTCTATAGGATAAAAAAAGGCAGCATGTCAAAAGCTGTTTAACCAAAGAAGTGAAGTGACAATGTAAACCCTATCCACAAATGATGATCAACTGGCGAAAAGAAACGACTCATGTTTCTTCAAAAGTCACTAACCGAGCTGCAAATTGCACAAATCCACATCCTCTGCCAACAGGAATTTTGACATACACAATCTCCCCAAGCTGCGAAAACGTTTGCTTCAGTTCGTCTTCCGTGACAGCAGGATCCAAGTTACCAACAAAAATCTGCATGGGTAGACCACAGTAATGGTTAATTAACTCAATTACTTTCAACAGGTGACTTTGTTCAAGCGGTTCAAGTCTGATTCAAAGCCAAGAGATCAAGAACATGAACCAAGGAAAAGAAAAAAATTAACATACTGTGGTATTTGTGAGGTCAGTGTCAGGTGCTGTTGCAACTGCCTGGACAGGTGCTGCATATGTAGGAGCTTGATACACAGCTGCACAAAATCGGTCACATTTGATCAAATCACTAAACTAGTTAATTCAGCTTATTCACATGGGCTTGACAACAAGGCATATAAATGAGATGGAAAACATGAAACACGTAGAAGAAACACAAACTGCCCAAATGTTCCAATCATGTAGAAGCATTCGTCATGAACTTATTATGGAAGCAGAGTAATTAATCAAAAAGCAATTTACCTTTGGTGGCAGCATACTGCTGTTGATAACCACTGGTCTTCTTAGGTGTTGCTGCACTGATACGCATTGGCCTAGTCGAGCAGTAAATACCGTTCATTTCTGACATAGCACGGTTCCTCTCATTCTCATCTCCAAATTTAACGAATCCATATCCCTTAGACCGCCCAGTATTTGGATCAGTCACAACCTTAGCTCCTCGAACAGACATATACTGAGTCCTAAAAGTCTCTTGCAAGAGATAATCTGTGACGTCGGGTGCTAAATCCCCGACGAAGATAGAATGCTCGGGCCCTGCCTCGGGACGCCTCTCTCCAATCCCGAATGAAGCCCAGTTCAGCCTGAAAGTTAGTTCAGTCCCTGGCATTTGCGTTCCGTTATAGGATTGCAGAACCCTTTCAGCTGCCTGATGAGAAACGAACTCCACAAACCCGTAGCCCTCTGGCTGGCCAGTCAACTTGTTACGGATGATTTTGACCGAAATCACCTGTGCCATATTCGCAAGCAATTAGCTAAAAATTCATAAACCCGCAATTATACCGAAACTCTAATTCCATAGCCTCGCAACTCGCAGCATACACAAGCTCACAACTTTGCCTTTTCAATTCCTAGTAAAAGAACCGAGCTGAACTAATTGCAGAAGCACAGTAATACAACGCTCGTGTAAAAGAGAGATACCTCGCCGGTGTGAGCGAAGCAAGAATTGAGGTAGTTCTCATCGACCCAGTACTGCAAGTCGCCAATCCAGAGAGTTCTAACTTCTTCTAGGGTCGCAGGCTGATGGTACCCGCCGCCGCCTCCGTGCATCGCCATTGGTGCTGCCATTAAAGCCTCCTACTAAGGGCTGCTTCTTCTTCTTCTCCGACCTCCGTCGTCCTTCCTTCTTTGATTCTTTCGGTTGCCGTCGCTTCTCTCTGCTTTTTCCTCCCGGATTTCGTATGGGCTTATACGCCTATGAAGCCCACAAGTTCTAGCCCGTTACCCGTAAAACCCATTCACTAAATCTGTCGGCCCGGATCGTCCGGCCCAATTCTCAGGTGTTTATCATATATGGAAATATGGAGGCGTGAGCTGGCTGCGGCGCTATTATACGGGAGAAAAAACGAACTTACAACGGTTTTGCGCGCTTTCTTCTCGCTGGCATTGCAATTTGCAACCCACTAGCTAAACTCGCCGCCGTTGCTCTCAAAACAAATCATTCTTCCAATTCTTCTTCTCCCCCGTGATTCAATCGATTGGTCTGTGCGAAGTACGCTGGAGTAAGCAAGTAGCCAATTTTTTCCTCACTGGAAAAATGGGGTTTCCGGCCGCCCTTGCCATTGTCCTAATCGGAATCGTATTCTTCGCCTCCGGCCTCGTCGTCAATCTCGTGCAGGTAACCCGTCTGTTAAGCGATCTGTAGATCAAAGATTGAATCTTGAACTCCTTACTCGCTCGGTAATCAATGAGCAAGTCAATTAGAACTAGTGTTTTGCTGATTTCATCGCTGTTGCTAATTTGGATCTGGGTTGAAACTTGCTGCTAACTTAACTGTCGTGTTACATTATGATTCTTTCAGGCAGTTACATTTCTCTTTTTCCGTCCATTCTCCAAGGGATTGTATAGAAGGATTAACAAAGTGGTGGCGGAAATGTTGTGGTTGGAACTCATATGGCTGGTTGACTGGTGGGCTAATTTGAAGGTAAAGCAAAGTTCTTGCTTTTGCTCTACATGGATTGGTGGTGGATGAATATGAGAGATCTGGGTTTAATATAGAGATTCAAAAGTCTTAGCTGTTCCTTTTCTCTTTATGTTTGATCAAGCTGCCTGTTGGGTGCTAACTAGAAACTCTTGGGCTCAGGTTGAAGTATATGCAGATGATGAGACCTTTAACTTGCTGGGTAAGCAGAAAATGCTTAATTTTGGACGGATATGAAATCTCAGTTGATTAGTCTTGAAATTTGCTAATCATACTTAATGTTTGGAAAATTTTCTGCAGGTAAAGAACATGCCATGCTCCTTTCTAATCACAGGAGTGATGTTGACTGGCTAATTGGATGGGTCCTTGCTGAGGTGCTTACCATAAAATTTACGGGTTTGTTGAATGATAATGATATGTTTCTAAATTATGTTTGTGAATGACCGACTTATCCACCGGTGATGGTCGTTCTTGTTTCTGATGGAATATTTTGATCTCAAAACAGCGCTCGGGTTGCCTTGGTAGTTCACTAGCCATCATGAAGAGAGAAAATAAATGGCTTCCTGTAAGTCCTCCATTCAATGCAAGCTCATTGTTACCTTATCTGGAATCATGTTTTGATAGTTATGGAATTGGCTACTAATGTTTGATTTGATGCATAGATAATAGGCTGGTCAATGTGGTTTTCGGATTATGTGTTTCTGACGAGAAGCTGGGACAAGGACGAAAGCACATTGAAGGTATCTCTGGCAGGGAACAATACAAGAATTCATTTCGTTGCACCTTATTCCGTTTTTTTTTATCCACACTGATATCTTATGGGATTCAGGACTCCAGTCGGGTTTTGAAAGGCTGGTGGATTTTCCCATGCCTTTTTGGCTAGCTGTTTTTGCAGAAGGAACTCGGTTTACTCAGGCAAAGCTAGAAGCAGCTCAGGAATTCGCTGCTGCAAAGGGCTTACCAATTCCTAGAAATGTTCTGATTCCCCGCACCAAGGTAAAGTATCTTTTACAGAATCCTTTGCTTTCATTTAACTCTCAAATTTAGATGTCTCTCTCATATGATCGGTTCATGTGGATTTTCTCCAGGGTTTTGTATCAGCTGTAACTCATTTGAGGGCATTTGTTCCAGCAATTTATGATTGTACAGTTGCTGTCCCAAAAGATCAGCCCTCACCCACTTTGCTAAGAATGTTTAGAAGACAGGCTTCCGTGGTAAATTCTAATGACATATTGATCGGTATTTGATATTCAACTTTTCCACTTGATGCCTAATCTGTTACGACTCTCTTTGACAGATAAATGTGAAAATTAAGTGACATCCAATGCACGAAATTCCTGAAACAGCAGATGGCATTTCTCAATGGTGCAAAGATCTCTTCATTGCCAAGGTATGACCGTTATTTGAAACCCAGAACAGTGGCTTCTGCTAATAGCATTATCTACGCTTGCTGTTATCCATCAAATGTAATGCTGAAAGTCTTTCTCCTGTGAGCCTTCCAGGACGCTGCTCTGGATAAGTTTCTTGTCAAGGACACCTTCAGCGAACGAAAGCATGACATCGGGCGACCTAAGAAGTCACTATGTGTAAGAAAATGTCACCAACCGACGACGTTATCTTAGCATTTCGTTTCTCTTGGTTCCTGATCTAGATTCCTCTGAATGTGCGCAGGTTGCTATTGTTTGGTCGACTCTTCTAGTCTGGGCCATTGCCAGTTTGTTCCAGTGGCTTTCGCACCTAGGCTCGTGGGTAGTCATTGCAATCTTGGTCACTTTACTCGTAATCATCATGATCGGAATGCACATTCTCATCTAATCCTCGGAGTCGGAGCACTCTACACCCGCACGAAATGTGACAGTTGTTTGTGATGGAGTCCAGGATAGACTCATTCAGAAATGAACCAGCTGGGGGCAAGACAAAGACTTCTGCTTTTTAGTAAATGTTGTCCATTTTAGTCTTGTTTCAGTCAAGTCAAATGGTTAATCATGAACAGCTCAATGAAAATTCAGCTATGGGGTTGTGTAAAGTCTTGTTCTTTATCCATCAAAAAAACCTTTCCAAGTCAGGTTTTGAAGTTACAACAAGAGGGTGGGCTCAGCGGATCTCTATCTTTACTTTCTGCCGTAATTTGGAATGGTTCTCGTCCATCGTCCCAGTTGCGTAATGAAAACAAAAAGGGGATAATATCATAATAATAATAATTTAATTTCCTAATATGAAAATACTGTGAGGAAGCCATGTGGTCACGAGATGGCTCAGTCGGTGTCAGGATCAGGAACGAAAGCTTTCTTTGAAGAATCAAATCTGTGCTTCCCTTCCTTCCCGACTTTTTCCCTTTCTCGTACACTATTAATGCATCTCCCCAGTCCCCACTGTGGTCCGTAAAAAGTACAGCTCTTTGATTCAAAATCCTGCCTCTGGTTTCCGGGGTCGTCTCGGGTCCGTTTTTTTCCAACTATTTTCCATCATGGGTTCGCTGAAGAACGATGAGGAAATCGAGCAGATGGGTGATGGATCAGCGAAAGAGGCGATTCTCTATGTTAATGGAGTTCGAAAAGTTTTGCCTGATGGCTTGGCTCACTTGACCCTTCTCGAGTATCTCAGAGGTAAAACGATGTTCAACAAAGCTAAAAATAGATAGTCAACCAGCGAAGAACTCTGTTCGTTGATCCAAATGCTTCGTCTTTGAATACTACCCACTTGCTAATTTTGGACCTGGGATTAATTGGATTCGTTGTCTTTTGATTGTTGAGCTTTCTGGCAATCTCTGATTTAGAGTTGGTTGAACTCTTGAACTTAGTTTGGAGCTTTACCAAATGGTTACGATTCTTCTGCTTGATCGATCTGCTTAGAACTTTTGGATGGATTTTGTGTAGACAGTGGGCTCACTGGGACGAAGCTGGGATGTGGTGAAGGTGGCTGTGGAGCTTGCACTGTTATGGTTTCTCAGTATGATAAAAGCACAAAGACATGTGTGTGAGTCTCTCAGTGTCATTTCTTCCAGCTGCAGTGATTTCTGCTTGAGTTCTACGGTATAATCAGCCTTTCTTTGCTCATATTATGCTGGAAATCATCTGTTTCAGGCACCGGGCTGTCAATGCGTGCTTAGCTCCTTTGTATTCGGTTGAAGGAATGCATGTGATTACTGTAGAGGGAGTCGGGAATCGAAGAATTGGATTACACCCAATTCAGGTAACAGTAATGTATTTGATATTCATATATAGTAACTTGATGAAAGTATTTGAAGAGAGTTAAAGACTTTATTTTCTTATCTCAACATGCATTTCCATGAATTTTCTGCAGGAATCGTTGGCACGTTCTCATGGCTCCCAATGTGGGTTCTGCACTCCTGGATTTATTATGTCAATGTATGCACTATTAAGGTCGAGTCGAGAACCCCCTGCCGAGGAGCAAATCGAAGAATGCCTTGCTGGAAATTTGTGTCGTTGTACTGGTTATAGACCAATCGTTGATGCATTTCGGGTTTTTGCTAAGACGGATGATGCATTGTACACTAACACTAATCCTAAAGAAGGTGAAGAGTTTGTGTGCCCTTCGACTGGTAAACCTTGTTCATGCAGATCGAAGGTTCCGGTGGATGACAAATGTACTTCCGTTCATAATACAGCTTGTGGTGGTGAGAGGTATAATACTTCATCATATAGTGAAGTAGATGGGAGCAAGTACACAGAGAAAGAGCTAATTTTTCCTCCCGAGCTATTATTGAGGAAGCTGACTCCTTTGAGTTTGACTGGCTTCAACGGGCTTAAATGGTACCGGCCTGTAAGACTTCAGCACGTGCTGGACCTAAAAGCAAAGTATCCTGATGCGAAGTTGGTGATTGGTAATAGTGAAGTTGGGATAGAGATGAGGCTGAAGAGACTCCAGTATCAGACTTTGATCCATGTGGCTAATGTACCTGAACTTAATATCTTGAATGTTAAGGAAGAAGGCATAGAGATAGGAGCTTCTGTAAAATTGACTGATCTCCTGCAAGTGCTTAGAAAGGTTATAGATGAGCGTGCGGCTCATGAAACATCATCGTGTAAGGCCATTGTCGAACAACTGAAGTGGTTTGCTGGAACACAGATTAAAAATGTTGCCTCTGTTGGAGGCAATATTTGCACAGCTAGTCCAATATCTGATTTAAATCCTCTGTGGATGGCTGCTAAAGCAGAGTTTCGAATTGTGGACTCTAAGGGAGGCATTAGAGCAACACAGGCAGATAAGTTCTTCTTAGGTTACAGAAAGGTGGATCTTCAGAGTGGTGAGATTCTTCACTCGGTGTTCTTACCATGGACTGGACGGTTTGAGTATGTGAAAGAATTTAAGCAGGCTCATCGAAGGGAGGATGATATTGCAATTGTTAATGCTGGAATGCGTGTTTCTCTTGAAGAAAAGGGAAAGCAATGGGTTGTTTCAGATGCATCAATTGCTTATGGTGGGGTGGCTCCTCTATCTTTGTCTGCTGTGAAAACTGGAAAATTTCTTATTGGGAAGAGCTGGAATCAGGAGCTCTTCTTGGCTGCTCTCCAGGTTTTAGAAACAGATGTTCTGCTTAATGAAAACGCTCCTGGTGGTATGGTGGAGTTTAGGAAATCTTTGACTTGCAGTTTCTTCTTCAAATTTTTCATGTGGGTTTCACATCAAATGGGAGGAGATAACTCTGCCAGTCTAAGTGTGCCATTGTCTCATCTGTCTGCTGTACAACCCTTCAGCCGTCCTTCAGTCATGGGAAGTCAAGATTATGAAATTCAGAAACTAGGGACTTCTGTGGGGTCGCCTGAGGTGCATCTATCAGCAAAACTCCAGGTATTTAATCTTAGGAGCAACTTATGAATTCAAATAAACTTAAGCATCTTGAAGAAGAAAGACAAGTCAATCATGCTTTTATGTAGAGGTTATAATGTTTAAAACTGGTTTCCTCCTCAAACTTGCCAAAGCTCAAATGTCCGAGCTCCATTAGTTTTCAGTATCTATAGAATTAGAATATCCAATTTCATGAAGTAAATTGGACCTTTCTATCTATCCTCTAAGGTGGATCCTGTAATTTTAGTGCTTCCCCAAATTAGTTAGTTTCAGGTTGCTGTATGTTTCTTTTTCCCTTTCGGCATCTTTGGTGGACCTTTTTATACATCTGCTTGCTCGAAATTAGTTAGTCTCAGGTTGCTGTATGTTTCTTTTTCCCTTTCGGCATCTTTGGTTTGGGAATAAAAGGGCTGAATAACCAAATAATCGATATAGCTCTGTTTTTTTGTTGTTTTCCATTACATCAATGGAATAGGATGAAAACATTGTGTTATAAATGTGCTTTTGGTAAGGTTATTCTTTGATGTTGTGAATGGACAGCTATACCAACCTGTATTACTCTGTAAACCTATTCTCTTTGCAATGTTTGAGTACTTTGCTTATAACCTGACTTGCTCTGCTGTATTCAATCAGGGCTTACTATTCAATAATCACACTTATAATTCATTCGACTTCATAACTACAATGTGTTCCTGGTTTTTTTAAATTAATTCATCTCTAGGTCACAGGGGAGGCAGAATACGCAGATGATGCTCCCATGCCATCAAATGGTTTGCATGCTGCGCTTGTATTGAGCCAAAAGCCTCATGCTCGAATAGTTGCCATAGATGATTCGGAAGCCAAGTCTTCACCTGGATTTTCAGGCATTTTCTTAGCCAAAGATGTACCAGGTGATAATCGCATTGGCGCTATTGCAGAGGATGAGGAAACATTTGCTACAGAGTTTGTTACTTGTGTTGGTCAGGTGAGGCGCTTTCGAAATAATGTTCATTGGTGCTTTTACCTTCATAAGTTGTGGTATGCCTTATGGAGTTCTTGGGTACTAAAGCTGTATGATGCCTTCACTTTCTGATTCTGATTGTTCCCATAATCCCATTCACGTGGTTGGCCAGGTTATAGGGGTTGTTGTCGCTGATACACATGAAAATGCCAAGTTAGCTGCAAGGAAAGTTCATGTCGAGTATGAAGAGCTCCCAGCAGTTCTGACTATACGAGAAGCCATCATTGCTGGAAGTTACCATCCTAACACTGAGAAGTGTTTGAAAAGTGGCGATGTGGATGCCTGTTTCGGATCTGGCGAATGTTACAAAATCATTGAGGGAGAGGTGCAAGTAGGGGGCCAGGAACACTTCTACTTGGAGCCACAAAGCAGTTTCATATGGACTATGGATGGTGGCAATGAAGTTCACATGATTTCATCGACACAAGTAAGTTGAATGATTAATGTGTTACTTAAAATGAAAATACTGATGTTGTAAAAGTCCACAAGCCAGCTTTTGAAAAGCTCGGGAAGTCCCAATGTTTGGCACAGCTTGTGCTTTTGGAGTAGAAAAAGCTCCTGGATAAGTTGGATCAAACAAAAATGCCATTAATTTCCTGATTGTTGCTTTCCTGGTGGCTTTGCTCGTGTGATTTGTCCTCTATTTACAGGCTCCTCATAAGCACCAGAAGTACGTGGCCCATGTTCTTGGTCTTCCGCTGTCAAAAGTAGTTTGTAAAACAAAACGACTCGGTGGTGGATTTGGTGGAAAGGAAACAAGATCAGCTTTCATTGCTGCTGCAGCTTGTGTGCCATCTTATCTATTGAATAGGCCAGTCAAAATCACCTTAGACCGAGACGTAGACATGATGACAACTGGGCAACGTCACAGCTTTCTTGGGAAATACAAGGTAGCCCTTCTTAATGTTGCTGTAGAACAAGGATTTTGCATTGTTGTACAGCATGATTCCAGGAACTGATGGTTTGCAAGTAATTTGATTAGGTTGGCTTCACAAAGGAGGGAAAACTTCTTGCACTGGATCTTGAGATCTATAACAATGCTGGAAACTCCCTAGACCTGTCGCTTTCGATACTTGAACGGGCGATGTTCCACTCTGACAATGTTTATGCAATCCCGAATGTCCGCATAATAGGAAGGGTTTGCTTTACCAATCTTCCTAGTAATACTGCTTTCCGAGGATTTGGGGGTCCTCAAGGCATGATCATAGCTGAGAATTGGATTCAAAGAGTTGCTGTTGAAGTTGACAAAACCCCAGAAGAGATAAAGGTAATGTCACGATCTTGCAACTCTCGTTCCACTAATGGTTGTAAATCTTTTTCCTAATCTGTCTTGTTTCATTTTCATGGTGGTACAATTTTCCCAGGAAATTAATTTTCAAGGTGAAGGATCAATAACGCATTACGGCCAGCAACTTAAGCACTGCACACTAGCCCCACTTTGGAATGAACTGAAGTTATCTTCCGACTTTTGTAAGGCCCGTGAAGATGTCAATCACTTCAATCGCCATAACAGGTGGAAGAAGCGTGGGTTGGCTATGGTTCCTACAAAATTCGGGATATCCTTTACTGCAAAGTTCATGAACCAGGTATGCTGTAACCAAGCTCCAACCTGATGCAAATGGTGGTGCACTAGACTTTATAACTGTGGATTAGGATATCCTCTCTCCTATATTGTCGTTTGGCTGAAAATTTTCTCGTTTATATGATATGAATTGGTGATGGATTGTGGCATGGAGACATTTGAAAATATAAGCTGAAAAAGTCATCCAAACACTAGTTTTCACAATCCACTACCCACAATCTATTTCTCAAAAGCTTATATATTCTTGAACTTTTTGAGAAGCAGTCTATTATGTTTCCTTCTTTACTGATTGGTTGAGACTTTCTGTGGTTGCCATAAATTTAGGCAGGCGCTCTCGTTAATGTCTACACAGATGGAACCGTATTGGTCACCCATGGCGGGGTTGAAATGGGGCAAGGTTTGCATACCAAAGTTGCACAAGTTGCTGCTTCTGCCTTCAATATTCCTCTAAGCTCCGTGTTTATATCCGAGACTAGTACTGACAAGGTAAGGGATCAACTTAGTTTGTTTGTTCTTCTACCAGCAATAGAATACTGAAGAGTTAAAGACAATGACTGTGCTTACTACCAAATAGGTACCAAATGCATCACCGACAGCAGCTTCTGCAAGCTCTGATTTATATGGAGCAGCAGTGCTGGACGCTTGCGAGCAGATCAAAGCACGGATGGAACCGGTTGCTTCTAAACATAATTTCACCTCTTTCGCCGAGGTAAGGTGTGGTTAACTGATGGCCTCATTTGGTGGCTTCCTCATCCATATCCAGTAATTCAAAATTTTCTAACTCAGAATCTTTTCATAGCTGGCCAGTGCATGCTATTTTCAGAGAATAGACCTCTCTGCTCACGGGTTTTACATTACCCCCAATATTGGGTTCGATTGGATCACCGGTCAAGGTGACCCCTTTAGCTACTTCACCTATGGTGCTGCATTTGCTGAGGTTGAGATCGACACTTTGACTGGGGATTTCCACACGAGGACGGCCAATATTATTCTGGACCTTGGCTATTCTATCAATCCTGCCATTGATGTTGGACAGGTCGTAGCTCGTCACTCTCCTCCTGTCACTTAGTTTCTTCTTCATGTGTTGCTGAAAAATTCCATCTCTTACCATTATTTCTCAACCCAGATTGAAGGAGCATTTCTTCAAGGACTGGGATGGGCAGCATTGGAAGAACTGAAGTGGGGAGATGAAGCCCATAAGTGGATCCTTCCCGGGTGCTTGTACACATGCGGCCCTGGAAGTTACAAGATCCCTTCGCTCAACGACGTTCCATTCAAATTCAATGTCTCACTTCTGAAGGTATAAATAACAAAACCCTAGTTCAAGAATCCTCCAAAGTTATCACCTTTAGTGGTATGAAAAAATGGCATTCAGTTACATGTTCTCAACAGTTCTGATTTTTGGGTTATCGACAGGGTCACCCGAATGTGAAGGCCATCCACTCATCGAAAGCTGTTGGCGAGCCACCATTCTTCCTGGCCTCGGCAGTACTCTTTGCCATCAAAGACGCGATCATGGCTGCTAGGGCAGAAGTCGGGCATCACGAGTGGTTCCCTCTGGATAGCCCAGCTACACCAGAGAGAATCCGGTTGGCTTGCCTCGATCAGTTCACTGAACCTTTCATCACCTCCGATTTCCGGCCAAAGCTCAGTATCTAAAAATACCATCAACCTAACCAGAATGCCCAACAGAAAACAGCTGTGTGTATAGTTTGTATTGTAAGTCAAAAGTCCAGCAACTGTTTAAAACGCGGGATTGTGCTGTACGCTCTGTTTGGCAACAAGGGGGTGCAAATTGCAGGAGGGTGCAAGTTGAGGGGCAAATTGCTGGAGGGTGCAAATTGCTGGGGGTGTAAGGGGAGGGGTAAATTGTTGTTTGGATGAAAAAGTAGGGGGGTTCAAATAAAGTGCAAAGTAAGTAATTATATTATTTTAAAATAGATTTTAAAATTATAAAATAGATTATAAAATTATAAATATTATCATAAAATAATAAAATAAATATTACTATATAATAATAAATATACTTTACTAAAAATAGTTATTATATAATAATGCTCAAATAATAATTAATTATAACAATTGTAATAATCATTGATCGAGCGATCTCAAAACTCGAAGCTCAACTCCTAACTGGTCATCCTATATAGGGTTTTCGTGTCTAGTTTAATCTTAAATTGTCAAACTTAGTCAAACACGTTCGAATTTGTAAGTTTTAACTATTTAGTCAAATAAAATGAGTTAACCAAACAATTTCTCTCTATCTTTTCCACAAACACCTTGTATATATAATTTTCAATGCAAATTCGATTCAACCAAGAGATCTAGATTTGACTTGACGAACATTTATAAACTTGTTTCCAGAGTCAAATGGTCAACCCCGAATAATGTTTACATTAATGATGTTTATAAAAAGAAGAAATTGATAATATTAATTATTATATAATTATATATAACACAATTAGAAAAACAAAATTCCATAATTCCCCCCTCCCCCTCTCTTCCTTCCTTCCTTTGCACCCCAATTCGGGGGGTAAGCCGAAACAGTAAATTTGCACTCTCGTTTTGCACCCCCTACTGTTCCAAATTAACCAAACAGGTGCAAATGTGTTGGAAACTGTGTTTACCCCTCACATTTGCACCCTCCTCCCATTTACCCCTCTTCCCAAACAGAGTGGGTAGGAAAGTCACAGATGGGAAATTGTTGGCACAGCCATTAGATGAATATGTTATTGTCTTATTGATATAAGAACTTGTGGTGGGTGAAACAGGGTTGTTGATGTTTCTTCATCGACTGACCTTTTTTTTTTGACAATAACATCGACTGACCTTGCGATTCTTACATATCTCATCTTTACCTAATGTCATTTGTCTGTATTGCCCGCCATTGACTTACCTTTTGGCTTTACCTAGAGTTTCTGTCTTTGTCAAAGGCATTTTCCTCCTGACATTGGCTTTGGAATGGAGTGGAAAGACAAGGTAGAAAGTTTTGAGGAAGTTGTAGAAGCAAAAGATATTAGCAACCACAACCCGTTTAATTTATACTAGCGTGGGCCCCGACCATTTGGTCGGAGGAAGGTGAGGTATGAAATTTGATAATGTAATGGGGTGTATAGCTTATTGTTGTATAGTTTTTTTTTTGGGAAACACGTGATAAAAATAGTGAATTTTAGTAGGAAAGAGACATGAATGATGCAACGAATCAAAAATCAGCCTTATGAACCAAAATCAAGTACCTGTTACCTTGTGAAACAATATTGTTTCTGGTAATATGATGAGGTAGAGACAGTTTTATAGAAACCGAATTCCAGAAAATCGAATAAAAAATCGTCTATCTTGCCGGTTTCGGGAAATGAGCATCTCACAATCGTTGCTAGCTTTTACTCGGGCCGTTGGCCGATTAATTTGCTTTATAAAACTTTCATCTTCTCATCATTGTGTTTTCTGGTTTTTTGCCAAACCATGATAAAATCTAAAGAAATCAAGAATGAACAACACGATTTGGAATAATAACCACCGTTCTTGTATCCTTAGAAAATGGTGGTAAAAACGGACTCACCTGTCAAACTGGTTTGGATTGAGATTTGTATTGGGTATCAGGGAACCATGTGATTATAAATTAGACTTGATTAAAACAGGTCAAAACTTGAAATTCAACCTGTTTGACCGACCCATGCCAAACTCTAATTATTCTTTACTTTTAAACAATCTATTTGAAATAAAAAATAATGAAAGAAAAGATATGACTGCAATTCGCCATTTTTTTTTCTTTTTCCGTTGAATCAGTTCAATTCGCCATTTGCACATCACTGATTCGGGAATAAAACTATAGAATTCGAAAGGAAACTGAAAAGGTTTAGGATCGTTTTAATGTTAAAAATAACCAAATAGATCTTTCTGTTTAGTTTTTTACTAACAAATACCAAATGATTCCCTATAATATACACTATAACTTAATCATTATGATATCAAATAATTACATAATATATATTTAAAATGATAAAATTGGACTAATTGGGTTGGTCGAGGTTGAACCGTTGAATAACTTTAAAATACATTATATTTTAGCCACTAAGATATAAAATAACAGCATAATATATATTATGCTAGAGAAAATAGCTTGTTTTAGAATGACAAACCCATAATGTTCATTTGTTTTACTTGATGGGCAAATCCCGTGTAGGCCAGACCCATTCAACTCTTTTATTTTATGATTAGCGGTTAGCCCATTAGAATTCATGCATTAGTTTATTGTTAAATTTTTTTCTTTTTAGCAATAAAAAGAGTATTGTTTTTGCCTTTTCATATATAGTTTACCACCACGGAGAAATAAAAGGACTTAAAGAAAAAAATTGACACTCCTGAACACGTTTAATCCGCATGTGTACGGTAAGTTGGCCCGTTCCACAGAGGAAAAAGAAAAAAAATTGACACTCCCTACTCTACCCTTCCTACAAACGCTCCTGGAGTAGGGAATTTGAAATGGGGGAAGAGTTTTTTCTCTCTGTGATTATATGTTTTTAATTTCAAAAGATACAATAAATGTACTTAGTGTGATTGGTTATGATCTTTGCTTTTCTTAAAAGTGGTTATGGTTCGAATCCTAGTAAGTGTCTTTTTTAATGAATAAAAAAAAGTAATTGTGAAGACCATAATGTCCTTCCTACTTTCACTCTGGATGCAGGAAATTTGAAATGGGGCTTCAAGTTTTCTTATTTGGCTTTTATTTATTGTGTAGATTCTACATGAGATGAAAAAAATCAACTGACATTTATCTTGATCATAGAGTATCATCTCGAGAAATAGACTCTTCACTTATCTGGACTACGAGATCTTTCATATCATCTTATATGATATCAAAGTTCTTCAAGATAAAAAAAATTAAATTTTTTATTTCGTTGAATAAAAATGTTCAATTGTTTAATATAAATCAGGATAAGTATTGATTGCTTAGTTTAAGTTAGCAAATGACTATCTCAGATTAATTAGAGATATCTGGATGAAATGATTTAATCAAATATATAATGAGTTTGGTGTTTCAAAATATAAATAAGGCTAATAAATTAAAGAGAGTCACCAGGTGGATAATAAATAGATAAAAAAATAATTTTATCCGATTTTATATCTCTATAAACTTTTATGTCACTAAATTTGTGCTTTTATGTATGCAACTTGTCACAATTTCATCTAGTTCGGTTCATTTACATGCTACACATAATAATTAATAAATTAACTATTTCAATTATTAATAATAAAGTAATAAAAAATTAAGTGAAATAATTAACCTTTGGATTACCAACCTTAACTAATCAAGTACTAGTTGAGTTTGATTCATTCAAAAGTTACTATTCATGTCAACAAATAAAATTTTACGCCGGTCATCATCTCCTAGATAGATGACCGATTCAATTATGATGAAAGAAGACACTAAGCTAGTTGATTAGAATTTGTTGCACATTTTAACTACTTAGGCTTTGTATTTAATCTCAGTGATTTATAGCTAGTGGAAGAAGCAAAAGATAATACAAGCTTCGATCCAATTGTCAGATTATAGTGAATAGAAATTCAGTAGCCGACAAGAGAGACTTGGTCTGTAAAAAATAAAATAATTACAAGTTTCCAAACAGAAAATGTTAACTACATTGAAATGATCATGTCAATGGATCTTATAGTGGGAGGGAGGCTGGCTTGGATAAACATCAAGATAGTGAGGTCAGGAGAGAGGAGACTCAATACAGTAAAATGTGGAATATTGTATAATAATTTTTTTTTAAAAAGCGGAAATGGTAGTGTTATTTTTTGGCGACTACGTTATCGTATCAGTGTAATTGGTTGTATTAATTTATTGATGGTGAGTAAGTATATTCTTTCTAATACAATTTTACACCATTTTTACGATAATCTATTATTGATTATTATGTCACGATAAATTAAATATTGTTATTTTATATATGATGATATAGTTTCACAATAATAACTTGATGTAGCATATTGACGATGGCAAGGTAAACTAGGGTTTATTGCTAACACTACTCCTTAAAGACAATTGGGCTAACCTCAATGAAGAAATAACACAATAGATAGGAATTTAGACAATCCAGGAAGAAGTTTATTATGAATTTCTTGATCGATTGGGTACAAATATTGAGTTAAGTGTTAAAGTGCATTAAATAATCAAAGAGTCATAGGGGGCTTAAGATCCTTGGGTAATTAATCAAAATGTTCATAAATGACAAAATGGCCATATACATAAGATAATAAAATAATATTTTCATCTATTTTTAGTCATATTTTCATTTAAAATAACAAATTAGCTTGTTGACACTATGCATATAATCAATAAAAATTTATCAAACACCTAACCGATCTGTAAAATCACCTCTTATCTAGAGTGAGCTAACTGACCATTTTGGATGAAAATACGAATGAACAGACATTGAATAGTTATTTTGTTATATCTTGATACATGTATGATTTTCTTGTTAAGTTTTAAACCTTTATAACCATATTATTACTGTCCCAAACCTATATGATCATTTTGATCAATTGCCTTTAAGATTCTTGACCTCCTCTTTACTTCATAATCATTTCCCAAAAATTTACACGATATACAAGAGAAATATCCGCAGTAACTTCATCTACACAAGAGAATCATGTCATTATTATAGCATACGAGACGAAGGAACAACCGAAAATAAGACTCCTTCTATGATATCAATTCATCAAACATCAATAGAAATGAAAAGCATCACACTTTAGCATTGGAATTATCTTCAAACTTTTATAATAAAAAATATCGATCGATTTTTTGGTTAATTATTTATCAAAATAAGATCGTCATGGGGAAGAACTAGTATCTCGAACAATTCTTCTCTACATCCAACATGTGGAGCATACCTGTAGCCAATGAATTCATCAAATTTGACCAAATCCGACATGGGCCGGAAACGAGACAAAAAAAAAAACTTATACAAAAGAAACACAAGTGTACATTAATTAATTATTAACTTTGATTAAAAGAAACATATTTTGCCAGATTTACTTCGATCAAATGCTGATAATCAAGACAACGATATCACATAGGCCAGGCCAGCTTTTGTTTCAGAATAATCAAACATACCCATACCCTAATTAATTACGTGATGAATGAAATATTGAAATATAAAGATATTGTTAAAGCGAGATAAATTATTACAAATTAAAATCATAAAACAGGTATATGCCTGATGAAAATAGATACAAAATATTATTGGATAATACCGTTGATGATGCTTTCTTCTTTGTAAATTAAAAGAATTTTAAAGACGAACAATTACCGCCTCTTCGACCTCGTGTATGTCATAAACCAACTGGTCCAAATAATTCGAGTTGGGAGAGAGGTCCATGTATTGTATTTAATCACTTTCTTATAACGAAAACCATTTCATCCGAATAATAAACATTGATCTAGTTATGTGTTTCTTCACTCATCCGATTAAGCTGACTGGATTATTAAACCCATTTTTTTAATAAAACGTTATGTATAGAGTGAATCTACGTTCGTGATATCAATGTATCTAAACTAATTTTCAATTTTAATGTAATTTCTAAAGCGAAACGCGACATATACTAGCTAGAAGTTTCTAAGGAAAGATCCTAATCAACCGATCCCCTCCATTAACATTCATAATGTCTACATCTAAGAATAACTAATTAATCGTGTACTTTAATAGTGGCTTATTTTCTTTCCTTCAATTTATAACAATTGATTGGTTCATGAAGAGGATTACCACATAATTCATCAATAAAATAAAATAATCACAAATATATTAAACTAACTTGACTAGTTCATCAATTTATTAACAATTATTCACCAAAATCATTGCACCCAGAAAGTCACCGCGTTAGCTAGTACGTACGTGAAACTAGTGGAGTCCCATTAACCAATTTGTTCCATTTTGATATTGTTTTTATCTTCCTCACTCACGAGCCTATATAAACCAAAGAATCAAAGGCTTCAAAATCCATCTTCAAACTTCCCCACCATAACACATTTGGAAACTTGAAACTTGGTAGGGAGAAGAAGCAAACCAAGATTTGCCTAAGAATGGCCAATTTTTGGCCTCACCAATGGATGTTCGTGGCGGCGATATGCCTGCTATCGATCACCTACGTAGCAGCCGACGATAAGCCTTACTACTACTCATCTCCACCTCCGCCTTACTACTACAAGTCACCTCCGCCACCGTCACCGTCGCCGCCACCACCGTACTACTACAAGTCACCTCCACCACCTTCACCATCGCCACCGCGTCCGTATTATTACAAGTCTCCTCCTCCGCCGTCTCCATCACCTCCTCCTCCTACTTACTATTACAAGTCTCCCCCGCCACCATCACCATCTCCACCACCAACATACTATTACAAGTCTCCTCCTCCACCGTCGCCATCTCCTCCACCACCTTACATCTATAAGTCACCACCACCACCGTCACCGTCGCCTCCACCACCGTACTACTACAAGTCTCCTCCTCCACCGTCGCCATCTCCTCCACCACCTTACATCTACAAGTCTCCACCTCCGCCGTCACCTTCGCCTCCACCACCATATTACTACAAATCACCACCGCCACCGTCACCGTCTCCTCCTCCTCCATACATCTACAAGTCGCCACCTCCTCCATCACCTTCCCCTCCTCCGCCATACATCTACAAGTCACCACCGCCACCGTCACCATCGCCTCCTCCTCCATACATCTACAAGTCGCCACCGCCACCATCACCATCGCCTCCTCCTCCTTACATTTACAAGTCGCCACCGCCACCATCACCGTCCCCTCCTCCGCCATACATCTATAAGTCGCCGCCGCCACCATCACCATCGCCTCCGCCACCATACTACTACAAATCACCACCACCACCGTCACCATCGCCTCCTCCTCCTTACATTTACAAGTCGCCACCGCCACCATCACCGTCCCCTCCTCCTCCTTACATTTACAAGTCGCCGCCGCCACCATCACCGTCCCCTCCTCCTCCTTACATCTATAAGTCTCCACCGCCACCATCACCATCGCCTCCTCCTCCTTACATCTACAAGTCGCCACCGCCACCATCACCGTCCCCTCCTCCTCCTTACATTTACAAGTCGCCACCGCCACCATCACCGTCCCCTCCTCCTCCTTACATTTACAAGTCGCCACCGCCACCATCGCCATCCCCTCCTCCTCCTTACATCTACAAGTCGCCGCCGCCACCATCACCCTCGCCTCCTCCTCCTTACATCTACAAGTCGCCGCCGCCACCATCACCGTCCCCTCCTCCTCCATACATTTACAAGTCACCACCGCCACCGTCACCATCGCCTCCTCCTCCTTACATCTACAAGTCACCACCGCCACCGTCACCATCGCCTCCTCCTCCTTACATCTATAAGTCTCCACCGCCACCATCACCCTCACCTCCTCCTCCTTACATCTACAAGTCGCCGCCGCCGCCATCACCCTCACCTCCTCCTCCTTACATCTACAAGTCGCCACCTCCACCGTCTCCATCCCCGCCGCCACCATACATCTACAAATCACCACCACCACCATCCCCATCGCCTCCTCCTCCATACATCTACAAGTCGCCGCCACCACCATCTCCATCTCCTCCTCCTCCTTACATCTATAATTCACCACCTCCCCCATCTCCTTCTCCACCGCCACCATACTACTACAAATCTCCACCACCTCCATCACCATCTCCTCCGCCACCATACTACTACAAGTCGCCACCACCACCGTCACCATCTCCACCGCCGCCATACTACTACAACTCCCCACCACCTCCGTCACCATCTCCGCCACCTCCTTACTACTACTACAAATCCCCACCACCTCCGGCCACTTACTAAACAATTCATACATTACTTCCACCATCATACATGTAAGTTCGTTCACATAACCCTAATCAAATTACTATGCATGATTTGCATGCCATTCTCTAAGTCAATAACATTATCCATATGTGTGCATCTAATATTCTATTTGACCTTTGGTCTTGATAATTGATGTAGGTTTGTGAAGGAAGAGAATAACTACGTACGGCAAAGTCATAGAGAGACCCATTTTTGGGACTACGACGAAACGCTTCTTGGATTTGATACTTCCTATATATATTGTGTTTATATATTTACGCAATTCTTTTGGCCCCTACAGTGCATATTGAAAGTTTTGATTTGTTTGTGTTTTATCACGATATTGTTTTATTGGTCAATCGTATGATCTCACATGTTTGTAACCAATATAATAAGAGTTCTTTGTTTTTCTTTTGTGAAATTACAATTACGCATTGATCTTTTTTACATTAATATTATGTTTCAATTAATTAAATATTAAGTTAAATGATTACAAAAAAAACTATTAAATTAAATATTTGGTTATGATAACATATAATTCTGAACTACACATATACCATGCATATACTAAAAATTTCCAGTATTTAGCAATCCGCTTATGATTTTCCAATCTTGATTCATGCTCTCGGTGGAGATGTAAAAAAATGTTGTTGAAAACTTGAAATTATGGTTTATGAAGCCACCAATTATCCCACAACGCCCAGCCCAACCTCGTGTCTGCTGGAGCCACCTCTTCGGGCCCAAGTTCCAGTCCATTCGTTGGCCCAGGTGACCTCAACTTCCATCGTATGCTAAAGAATTTCCCTTAGGAGTTAGGACAGAAAGTTTATGGCCCATTTATACGAACTAGCAAAGACCCGCTCGCTTCGCTTCGCGTCAATTGAAAATCTATAACTCTGCTTATAGAATTATCTCCACAAATCTTTATAAGTAGTATTACTAAATTTATGGAGTGATAACATCAAGTTCCTCTAACCTTTGTTTAAAAGCTGATACAATATGCATTTGAACAATAGGGGATGCAATGAACAAAAGTACAATGTTGATCGAAAGTTATTGTACATAAACTCAAAATCAAGGTCGAACTTAAACCGAGGGAATAAGCTAAACATCTACATAGTACATTCAATCACATACCAAAGTCTTCAGGTAAAAATTTGTTCTTTTTTTTTTTCTCATGCTTTTCCACCTCTTCTCTAATCCGCTCAGGTGTCTGGTCCTATTAGATGGCTGAAATTCATAAGCACACAACATTTTATTAAGGCCAGTATTAGATGGAAGCGGAAGCACTTGACCTATGGAAATGTACTGTGGTTGATCTAGCTTGTCTCTCCACCAAACAACCTACTTCTCAGAGAATCGGCTCGGACCCAGCAAACCTGTAGGACAGTTTAAATACATGACAAAGAAAACCATCTTTCTCAAGTTATAAACATATGTCCTCTATAGGTCACACGGTAAACTTGAAAAGTACATTCCAAAATCTGAAAATCATAAGTAAAAAAATGGTCAAGTCTGTAGTAATTTAATACATAGAACTTAATGCCAGTTTGGAAGGCCCTTTTCAATTACTTACAACAACACTGATTATACTCTTCAAACATGAAAGGTAGAGATGATTGAACTGAAAATGGAATCCTTCAAGACAAACCAATAGCAATGCTTGTCACTCAAGATACAGAGCAGCAGGCGCTGCCCTTTATATATGAAACAATGGACAAATAAATGTGAGTGTTTACCATAACTATACCTACAATAAAACATCAAACTGTAGTCGGTTAGAGTTGGGACGAAGGGAATATATATAGTGCTGGTGGGGATGCTCAACAAAAGGTGACAGATATAAAAGAAAAAAAGACGTAAGTATTTTAAAAAATAAAAATGGCACTCCAGTAAACAATTCGAGTACGGACTTCGGCTCTGATACTTGACGATGGAAAGAATTGATAGGTATATAACAAACAATATAAGGGAAGTTTGTACACAGTTGAATCTTGAGAGAAGGCTAGTTTCTGCTAAACCGATTGCAAACACTATCATTTACACCATTATGGGCTCTTGAAGATGCATGGTCTACAGAAGCTGTTCAATTGGGATCTTCACAAAATGTGGATACCCTTTAATTCATAAATATGGATTCAACTCAAAAGAACTTCGGATAACTTGAGATACCCTTGACTTATTGTCAACTCGTTTTAGATATAAGAATACAATTAGTTGAATTCATTACATGTTTGGCTTTAAAAACAATTGCAGTAAAACTGGTATAAAATACAATCAATGTTGGCTCACACCTAACAGTACAGTCTTAGACGCATACTCTACTGCACTACGTTTTCCAAAAAAAATCATAAATTTAAAATGCAGAATGTCATGATGCATTGTAAGGCCTCCATTCAAGGAAAATTCAATTCGCGTATTCAAATGTGAACTGCTTCTATTCTCAACATCCCATGGAAGTACAAAGTCTAGGTATCAACTCACGAAAGGAAAACGGTGAAAAGAAATTTTAAAGTAAAAGCCATAGCTAGGAAGGCAGAATAACCGTGGCTTGTGCGGAGGAAATAAAAATAACATGAGAGCTTAAAATTAAAGAGATGCAATTTTCTTAAAGCTGGAGAACGGTGAATTAAGGACACACTTGAAAGGCAAAGTAGATGTGATGAACAACTCCCTATATAAAAGAAGAGTTCTAGCTTTTCACATTCAATGTAAATAAACTATGACTTCTAATCAACTGCAAATCACGTTGTTACCTTCTTGTTAGACAATCTTTCAAGCACATCCAACGTATGAGAGAAGCTCCCTAACCACCACTCAACAGCCAGCAACATTTTCTTGAATGAAATCAACAAAGAAGATGGTAAATGAAGTAAGAATAGAATAGAGTAGATGAACAAACATATAAATTCCAAGTGTGCAGCAAAATGGAAGAGCCAGAGGAGGAAGCTTTGACAAAGGACTCATACCATTCAGCATCCCAAAGGGAAGAGAAGGGGATAAAATAGAATAGGAATCATTGTAGACCGCCACACGCCAAATACAATCTTCGCACTTTGAATTTGCTGCCGTTCATGACAGCCTTCCAAAGTTTGATTTAAGCACAATCAGGTCATCGGTGGAACAACACATCATGGACTCTCTAGAAAAAGCTTAAAGTGGAATGAGTTCAGTCAACCTCTCTTCAATCACAACTCAGAGTTCCTATTCTGATTCTCCTCTGCTCTTAGGCAGCAAAATGCACAATGTTAGGAGGAAAGACAACAGATGTTCCCAAAAGAAAGATAGAAATCTCAATGATCTTGAGTTTAGCAGTAGGTAAAACTCATTTGAAAGAATTATAAAATGACCAAGAAAAAAGGAACCCCAAAAATTATTGATCAAGTAATAGCATTTTGCAGTAACCCCAAACTCCACTATATATATCACCTGGTCATATATGTTCCCCTCCCCTCCACCCTTTCGTTTATCCATCTTAAAAAGGATTAGATTTCCATTTCTAATGCATTATGGACCATCAGTATGTGCTTAAGGGGGAAAAAAACCAAAAACTCATCACCCGCTAATGGCCTTCTGCAGTATTCCCACGGTTCAGCATTTTGAATACCAGCTCATATATCCTTCTGTTTCCTATCTTTAAAAGGAATGGATTTCATTTGTAATGCATATTAGACTATCAATATGTGCTCAGGATCAAGATGTAATGTATGTGTTGGCTGATTACCTTTTGTACAGAACTCCACATAAATGTACGAACAGACCTCTGAGAATTGTGAACAGTGTCGTTGCCATCAACATGAATTTATTTTTCTCTTTGGTGGTACTGGACATCATATCTTTTATGATGGATTTAACATCTCTGTACTTGACAAAGAAGCGTGAATTTAAGAACCCAACAACATTAGAAAACGGCCATCGCTATCTGAAAAAAGCAAATGAAGTTCATCACCTACCCGACTCTTTCAATATGAGCAAACTAAACTTCCCATTCTTGAATGATAAATATTCTCTAAACACCAAAGTATCCAAAAAAGAAGACACAATCAAGTTATAAGATACAGGCATGGCTATTGAAATCTTCAAAGCCTTTTAATTAGAAAATGTAGATACCCCACAAAACATTAACATAATTATAGGAAGTATCTAGTTGTAGCCTTGTAGCAACCAATTAATTCACAGAGACAATGATCCTAAGAACTGGAGAAATAAGCAGGTTGACATGAGTAGTCAATATAGGCCCAAAAAGTATAATTATCCTTGTGAGGGCAATTCCATTAGTAAGGCAGTAAAAGATCATCATATAGAGGCAGGTAGGCTGAAATGAAAAATAACTTAAAGGACATTAGATAGTTGTAGAAGCAAGCAATTGTAGATGGAAATCTATAGACAGGAAGTTGTCAATGCAGCAGGCTTTGATATGCAACTTCAAATCCCCCAATATAACTCGTTTGCTCAGCAGGGAAACTATCACTATCAGCATTGCAAGTAAACTTGCACAGTAACCAAACTGATTGCTAGAAACATAAAAGAGTATCCGGTGAGGCCAATTAAACAACAGATCTACTAAGTCGCATTCACATGAAACTCGGGCCATTCAGTTTAGTATTCATATATCACCAGCTGAAAACAAAACAGAGAAAACCAAGATTTTGAAGCAATTTAGCTGCTGATGTAACCTCTCCCACTGATTTTAAGAGAGTTAAGGATCATGGTGTGCTCTTCTAATCCTCCTTTCCATCCTACCCCAAACTCAGCTCTCATATGTGGCAGTATGATTCAAGTAAGGATTAAACTAACCACACATAGAGAGATCCTACACACAGGCGGAACCAGCTAATATAAAAAAAAAATTTATAAACGACATAAACCCGACTGAACTTGGAACAGATGATAGCAAGAAAATTATGTGAAACTAAAAGTAAGACCAACACAGCCACAACAAAAGGAACATAGATGAAAAGCTGATATCAAAGCAAAAGCTACCTGGCACTTCCCAT